TAAATCCCACTGTTTTTGACGATCTTTTCTCTCAATAACTGTCTTTCGTTTATTTATCGCCTCAATAATAGAGTGACATGTGAGTGCAAAAGTCGAAACAACAAAAATTAGCCAAAAATGACGCAATTTTCCCTCTGAACCAGGGTCAGTTTAAAATTTATAAAAACAAAACGACCCGGTAATTAGACAATAGACAACAGAACTTGAATAGTCACTGGATTAGAGGAGTAACAATATCCTTCACAGTTGGCATAGGCTATAATGATAATTTCGACACAATACGAAAACACGCACCGATCAAATCACAGGCCACCATTCGTATGGACACACTCCTCCGCACACCGATACACTGACTCATCTTTAATGAGGTGATGTTGCTGGGGATCTACAGTGACTGAAGATCACCATCTAGTCAATCATCACTGGTCAAGCACTGCCTTAGAAACAACACAGCACCATCACCTTATGCAGACACGTGTAGCTAGTAGTGGTGAAGTCAGAGATGCAATTTTAGAGTCATTCGCAATTCCCACGTACAACAACATTGACATTTACCTTATGAGAGCAGTTTTCGTATTCACGGTGTGATGCTGAGCAGCAGATAAAGACAGGGGGATAAAGACAGACTTACATAGAAACACGCTGTTTTCTTTCTTCGACGACGACGACTACTAAGTCGCCTTGTTGCCACTTTTTATCGCCTGCTTAGAGGCATTGACATCATCTTCATTTTCTGATGTTCTCTTGCTGTTGTACTTGTTGTTGTCTCGAGGTTGCTAAACGGTCATTGCCGACCAACATGTAAAATTACCGCTGAAATTCAAGTGAATTCGTCATCATCTTCATAATACAAAACTAACAAAGATATGTCAATTGTTTACTCCTCACCTACCTCTATATCGTATCACCTTCAGTTTTGGAGCCCTTTGAGGTGCCGCTGAGCCTGGAGATCGAAGATGAGTGCACTGTGGCCGACCAAGAGATAGAGCTGGACAATTACCAACGAGTGGCAATGTAAGTAGAAAGAGCGTAACAGAGGGAGATCCTTCGGTTTGTTTGATGAGTCAATTAGCGGCAACAGCATTCAGGTTGGACGGACAATCAATCGACTCTGAGTAGCATCGTTTCGTGAGCCATGGTCAAGCGATCGATCACATATTAATCACAACGATCCCTTTTTCCTCTTCNACAATCAATCGACTCTGAGTAGCATCGTTTCGTGAGCCATGGTCAAGCGATCGATCACATATTAATCACAACGATCCCTTTTTCCTCTTCTTTTTTTCAAACAATCCTATTTCTTCATTGTCTGTTTCAGCATTGTCCTCGGCGGCCTTGCTCTTCTAGTGGGCGCCAGCACCTGTTACGAGTACTACCTGAGCAATTACCGGCGAGACCCCGCCAAGTCCATCTACGACGGCTACCTGATCACCTTTTCGGCTCTTTCCAACACGAGGGCACTCTTTACGGACGAGGGTGACCGCCGTCTGTGCGTCGTCGAGACGATCATCCTCGTTTTTGTCGCCCTCGAGTTCATCGGTCGCTCTTACGTGCTTCCCGTCTTCTATGGCATGATCAACATCAAACGGCCGCTGGATGGCCTGCCAAAGGAGTACTTTACCGCGCGGAAGTTCTTCTTCATTCGAGGGAGCTCGTTTGCTGCCTGCACTTATGTTCTTGGATGGTAAGACTGAATGCTGTTTTTACACCGACATTTAACTTTACATTCTTTTACCATTGAAAAGCTCCATCATCCTGGCGTACAACATCTGCGCCCACAAATCGACGATAAAGCCGACGCTGATCAATTATCTCAAGTTTGCCGCCAATCGGTATCTCAGCTACATTCGCCGTCTGGTAGGGCCCATCTTCCTCGTGTACCTAATGCCACTGCTCGGTGACGGGCCCATCTGGCACTACTACAAGCAGATCTACACCGGTCCGTGCAAGGACAACATTCTGCCCTCACTGCTCTTCTACAGCAACTTTGCCAGCTCGCTGGACGATGTCGTAAGTTAGAAGTAGAAAAGTTAATGGACTTGACATTGACTAACACTTATTGCCCTTTTCTTCCAGTGCGTTCCACCTTCAGTCATTCTCTCGACGCTCTTCTACCTGAGTCTCGCGGCGCCCATCATCCTCTACTCGCTGAACAACAAAATGCTGGGCGCAATTGTTTTCCTCGGTCTCATCCTCCTTGGATCAATTGCCAGCGTTCTGCCGAAGTACGTCTTCAACCTGCCAGTGGCCCCATACGAGATTGCGGCCATGTCCTCGGTGGCGCAGGCGAAGCTCTCCTTCGTCCACTACTACGCCGCCACCGACCAGCTGCTGGTCGTCTTTGTCTGTGGCCTCTTCATCGGCTACCTCATCAAGTGCAAGCCGAAGATCAACCTGGGCGGCACCTTCACTAATTTGGTCCTGTGGGTGGGCCTGATGGCGCTGCCCTTCATCTCCACCAACTGGAACGAGGGCTTCAAGCCACTGGAGGGCAACTTTTCGCAGTTTAGCTTTGTCTCTTGGTTCGTCCTCAGTAAGATCATGTGGGCGGCTGGCTTCGGCTGGATGATGTTTGCCTGCAGCACTGATCGAGCAGGTTTGTTTTCTAGTTTTTATTACCTGTTGTTATATTGAGCTTAAATCTAATTTGCCTCTCCCTCTCGTCACAGGTCCCTTTAGTGACCTTTTCCGCGTGCCATTGCTTCGGCCGCTGACCAAGCTCGCCTTCACCGTGTACATCAACCACATAACCATTCTCAGCTTTCGTCAGCTGAGCAAGAAGGAACTTGGGCCGCTTACTCATGTTGAAATTGTAAGTAGTTGCGTCTGTTTGTACAGTTATGTTTTCAGTTTCACAGCTCACATGCCCTTTCCCCTCCTCTCTATTCCCTTCATACAGCTCACCGATGACCTTGCGGACATCGTCATCGCCTTCATCGTTTCCTACATCTTCTACATTTTGATCGAGCGGCCAATGTACTACTGGATCAAGATAGTGCTGCAGCTGCAGCCACAGCAGCTGCCACCGAATGGTGGTCGATTCTCCACCAATGATCTCGAGTCCAATGGAAAGCGAAACAGGAAGGAGGAGGAGGGCGAGTTTGCCCTGAAGCCACTCAACTCTTCGGAGACTCGTCACTGAATGAGACAACACATTTTGCTTCTTCTAATGTGATCAATGCACACATGCTTTCTACAACTGCTTTCTCTCAGATGTAACTCACACACACACACACAGTCAGATCAGATCAGATAGGTCGCAGATCTGTTTTGTCCAGTCAACAATTATTATCATCATCATCATCGTCATCGACAGCACCATTTTATTGTACTCAATACTCATTTACCCTTTTTTGCAACCATTTTTAGTAGAAAGCCCTTTTCAAAGTGTAACTTGTCATTTTTAGAAATTTTTATTTAAATTAAAAAGCGTTTTTAAAATTCTGTATGTGAATAATTACTCTGATCAGTGCTGAAATGCAGAGGGCGCAACAGTGCGGATGTCAACGGCGGCGGCGGCGGCGGCGCCTCAGTCAGCCAAACGGTTAAAATCAGCAAGAGGCTAGATCTGTCATCATTCTGTTCTAGCATCCCAAGGACCACTGATGCTCTCTCTCTCACTCACACTCTCACTCTCTTGCTCACTGTGCCTGTCTGCATTTGGAACCACTGTGGAACCTACTGACTTCTGAGCCTTTTCTCAATTTTCGAAATGCCACTTTTTGGACACCGTTCGCTGGGGGAAGATTATGAAAATAATATCAAAAAAGAAGTGGATAGTGATAATGAAGTAAGTGTTTACAATGAAGAAGAGTATGATGGCGATGTCGATGAAGAAGTGGTAAGTTTTGCTAGAATTCTGTTTGGAGAGAAGATTTAATTTCGTACATCTTTTCTCTTTTTTCAACAGGAACAGCAACACTCGTACATGGAAAAGCTTGAAGCAATAGCGGCGCGTCGTCGAAGGCTCCAACTGAGAAACGGTGTTTGGAGCTACCCCATCTCTCACGGATATAAAACACTATTTGCTAAACGAGCTTCCATTGGCAAGGTCAAAGAGCAGTCTGAGAAGGAAGAAGAAACGCTATCCTCATCCACTTATATGTCTCCTCCTTCTACTCCACATTCCACTTCTTTTACTACGATTTCTCCTTTGCCTCTCAACTTTCCAACTGTGGAACTGCCTGAAAATGTGGCAACGGGGATGAGAAAGGCTACAGCAAAGCGTCTTGTGTCAAAAAATGTCCAAGCCACCAATTTAAAGAAGCGACCTAGACTTCTCGCAAGTAGAAAGTCATCTTCAAAAAGAAATGTTTTTAGTAAAACGCCATGCCTTCCGCATAAAGTGAGTCATCTGGAGAAGACTAAAAAAGGATACAAAGCAAAACAACTGAAGAGCACATCTCAAAAGTGAGAGAGAAAGAGCGATTCACTGCAAATACACCACCTAGTCTTCATTTTACTTTTTTTGTTTATACCATATTCTCTCGTATTCTGTTTTGATGTAATATTCAAACTTATTTATTAAATGATAATCACTACAACACACTAAGCTGGTTTTTGTTTTTTAACTCTTGTAGTGACAGTCAACAAAGGAAGTGTCAGTAGTGGGTAGACTTCTCTAGGCAGGAGCTTCGTTGGGCAGCACAACGGCTGCTTCTGCTTCTTGGACGTCCACACTGGCAACCGCCTCTTCCCCATCGGCAGGAGATTTCATCGCCGCCTGCTTTGCTTTGTTCCACTTTCTCTTTGCTAGAATGCTGTCGATATCCTTTTCGATGCCGGAGAAGTCCTCAGGAGCCGTTTTCACTGGTTGAAGGTAAAAGCCAGGGTTCCTCTTGGCTACGATCGTCTGCTCTGCAGCTCTATTCTCATCCAGCAGCTCCACTGGAACGTTTCCAGCTTCGAGCTGCTGTGGAGGCTCTGCCCGGTCATAGTCATTGTTGGTGTTGGTGTTGTCACAGTGAATGCAGATGGCGAGAAAGGCCACAAGGAGGACGACGAGGACGATGATGAGGGCGCTTGATGTAATTTCTAGCAAATCACACTTTCTGGTTAGAATAGGAAACTCAAATATTACCACTCTTTTACTTACCAAAGTCTAGAGAATTGAATGTTGGAGAAGCTGTGGTAGTGGTGGTCGTAGTCGTCGTTGCATTATCCGAATCCTTTCCAAATTTTAAAAAATCAAACAGAGGAGCAAAAAAGTCCATTTCAGGGAATTTAAACAACAAGCTCTGGAGAAAAAGTGAAGCCTGAAAACTGGTCAGCACTTTTTACTGAACATCCAACTTTTTTAACTACATCAGCATACTAAAAAGCAAGCAAAAAAATTCGATTTTAGTAAGCCTTTTTATTTTGCTGTTTTTTTATTTAAAAATTCTGTTTTTTAAAAAGAGCTGCAATCTACAAGTGTGATTTCAGCTTTCGCTGATCCGCAAGTGCCTCTTTGAGTGCCGTCACCAGCCGACCAACTACCACTAGATTAGCATTCACCCCAAGATAGCCGATGCGCCAGAACCTAGGCACAGTGGAACTGGCAGGAATCAGCGATCCACTGATGAGAATGTCGTGCTTCTCGTACAGATAACTGATCACCTTTACACCGTCAATGTCCTCAGGAATGAGAACGGCGACAATGCCCGGCAGACGGTGCTCCGCTTGCGGCACTAAAAGCTGAAGACGGAGCTCATCTTGAAGTGCCTGCTCAAGCACTGATTTCACATTGGCGTGCCGCTCTACCACCGACTCCAGCCCTTCGCTGACCACGTCTTCAATTGCCGCTCGAAGTCCGAACAGCAGATTGGTGGCATGTGTGTAGTGGTACTGGTAAACGCCGCCATTGTCAGTGCCTGGTTTCACAAAAGAAAAAGCGAGATTATGAAAGTAGATGCAGAAAGCGCCGTGAGCTCCGCTTACCCCAAGCCTTGGCCACCAGGCCAATGTCCTGGTAAAAGGAGGGCACCTGCTGCACTGCTGAGCGGGCTCTGTACAGAGCGACCGCCCTCTCGCTGAGGCTAATCAGGGAGAGTCCAGGCGGCCCTGAGAGCGCCTTCTGCGGCGCCGAGTAGAGGACGTCAATCTCGAAGGCGTCCATGGGCAGCGGCGCCGAGCACAGTGACACGACGGCGTCCACCATCAGTGTGCAGCCGTAGCGGTGGCAGAGGCGGCCGATGCCCTCCAGCGGCTGAAGGGTGCCCAGACTGGAGTCGCCGTGACAGACGTACAGCAGCGTCGGCCGGTGGCGAGCCACCGCCTCCTCCAACTGCTCCACACTGTACACGGCCGCCAGAGAGGTGGGCTTCAGGCGGACGACGTCCAGCGACAGGCGCTCGCCCATCATCGCCACCCGTTCGCCCCAGTGGCCGGAGGTGAGGGTGAGCAGTCGCTGTCCAGGAAGGAGGAGATTGGCCAGTGTCGCCTCCATGCCGCAGGTGCCGGCGCCTGTCATTGCGAAGGTGTACCGGTTGGTCGTCTGAAAGAGGTACCGAATTCCGCTTTGCAGCTCACTCAGCAGGCGGTAAAATTGAGGGTCGGTGAGGCCGAGAATGGGCGTGCACATGGCCTGCAGAACGTGGTGGCTGATGTTTGAAGGGCCTGAAAGGCGTTGAATAGTTAGAGACTGTTTTTGCTAAAACACCGTATGCCTTGCCTGGGATCATCAGTAGTTTGTCTTTGAGGGCAAACGGTCTTGTGAAGGAGGTCGGCCTAGCGACCGCGGAGGTCCAGGATTTTGAGCCAGTTGAAGATGAGTTGAGCATTTTGTCAGAAACTCTTGAAAAAATGCGTGTAGCAATAAAAGTGAAAACAAGTAAACAGAAGGTCGTCAATAAGTGAGCTCTTCGGATATCACTCGTCAAGACACTCAAGACATGATAAGAGCAACTTGCTGTTTGTGGTCGATAAGAAAAGCAGACGGCAACAAGCGAAAATATCTGGTTTTTGGCAAAGTGGCTAAAACACCAATTAGGCCGCTTTGCTTTAGTTTCAGTTAATATAAAAATAACTAGATTTGCCATACTTTTAGAAAAATAAAACTCAAGGTGTGTTTTAACTATTTTCAAGATTGGCATCAGTTTCGACAGAAGGTGCGGTATGCAGCGAATACAGCGTGTGGAAAATGGTGTTTGCTGATTTCACAGGCGGGAGTTTTGAATAAGAGTGACAATATAAAATTTTTTTCTGGTCATGGTGTACCACTTTTGGATAAATTCATGTCAAAAATGCAGTTGTCGTCACATGATAGAGGACATTCATGTTGTATTTCACAATTTTCAAAACATTTTTCCACCCACTAAAGCAAATGAGCGAAGCCAGCCGTCGTCTGACATTGAGCTTTCTGATGGAGTGTGTTAGTGATCTTGCACCAAAAAAAGTAGGGCTGCAAAAGAAGAAACGCCGAGAGGAAATGATCATTTGTTCAACTGATTTTGCACACCAAACATCAAACCATTTCCCGTAAATGAAGTCAACTTTGTAAAGAAAATGATTACCCTGAGAGTGGTCGGTTTTCTTGTCTGGTTAGCCATTGCTAATGCCAACCAGGACATTACTGATATTGATCGTTATCTAGACCCTTTCGATCCAAAGTAAGTGATTTCAAGAGTTGTAAATTTCTATTAATCTAAAAACTTTTCTTATTAAAACAGTCCTCGTTTCATCGTCAAGAATGGCCACCTGATGGTGATGACCGGCCGCAATAAGGACCTTGTGTTTCGATCTTCAGGCAGTGGTCGGGTGAAGATTAACGGCGATGACATTGCCGCACTGAAAGCTGGGAGCTCCATTGTGCCGTCGCCAATCACTGATCAGCAGGGCGGAGATGGATCAGCTGCTGGCGGTGTGGTCCGCACTGATCTGGCCTCACAAATCACCGAACTAGTGAACAGGCGGGTGGAGGAGAGGATGGCCAGCATCAATGCCACCCTGGAGGGGCGAGAGCGCACGGCTCGCCTTCGTCGTCGTCAGCTGACTCGACTGCAGCGCAACTTTGACAAGCTGGAACGCCTGCTAAGGAAGAACGAGTGCAAGCCGACGAACCCGTGTCAGAATGGCGGACAGTGCGAGGATGCCTTTGGCGCGTACATTTGCCGCTGTCCGGCCGGTTTTCAGGTACGTCGTTTGTTGTTTTGATTGCTTCTT